GCACGCCTGCCTGCACAGGCAGCTGCCCGGTGCCTGTCAGGGCTTGGTGGGCATGGCTGTGTTGCCCTGAGGAGCCTGGAGTGAGAATCACCACCGCGTCTGAGCTAATGCAGCCTCCCTCTGCCCCGGCTGCTGGGGTTGAACGTAACCTCACGCGTGTGTTTTTTTTTTTTTTCCCCCTCCAGACCAATGATGCCTTAGGAGCCACCTGGAACTGGCTGTACTTCATTCCCCTCATCATCATTGGATCCTTCTTTGTCCTCAACCTTGTCCTGGGAGTGCTGTCAGGGTAAGCAAGACACTGTCCTTCTTCTCTGGGCCGTGCCTGTCCTGTGCCTGAGGTTGGCCTCCAGTTCTGCCGTGCCCCCCAGGACCCCGGGGGCTGGTCCCCCATCCCCTCCATGTCTGCCTGCCCCACAGCTAGGGACCATTCCCTGGCTCTTCTTATGTCCTTTCCTCCCTGGGGAGCTGGGAAAGGGGCAGCGTTGATGATGCTTTCGTGTTGGTTTGCCTTGCTGAAGAGCTCATGGTTTTGGTCACCTGCCAGAAATGGTCAGTGTGGATCTTCTGTCTGCTTGGGACCTTCTGGAGGGGAGAGACATGGGGGAACCTCATAGGAACCTGCTGGAGTCTGGAATGCGTTTGTAGTAGGGCGCGCGTTGGCTGGGTGATGGAGCGTGGTGAGCATGGCTTGGGGGGGATTTGGGGCATGCGTGGGAGTGATGCGGGGCACCTCCACGTACCGATGTACCCGGCGCCAGTGGGGGATACACACTGGTGAGGGTAGGGGTGCCTATGGACAAGGGAGGGATGTGAGAACAACACAACTGTCCCTGTTCTGCTCTTCCCAGGGGAAAGGAGATTTTAATCCAAGGCATTAAACTGGGTTTAGAGAGAAAAAGGCTTCTTGTCTCCATGACAATGGGCTGTGGTTGCATCAGCACATCCTCCACTGCTGGCAGGGGTTGGTGCATAGGGAGACCATGTCCTCTCCTGCACTGGAAAAGGAATGTGGGCTCCTCTGCCCTTGCTGCAGGTGGCAGTGGGGACCCCATGCCCAGCAACAGGTCATTTTTTTCCTAATTGCTCATTATCGGGGCGGGGGAAAAGCCACCGTAGCACTGGTTTGGCCAGCTGGAAAGCTCTTAGATGCAGGGATCTACCATGGAGACTGGCCTCGGTCATCTCTGTCACTGTCTTCAATGCCCCTGTGAGTCCAGGTGTGACGGCGGTGGTTTCAGGAGTGCTTTTGGAGAGGCAGATTGGGCTTCGAAGTCTGGTGGTGGGTTGAATTCCCCCAGCTCTCAGTCTGGAGTCTGACTGGGGACAGGCTGCAGGAGGGGCTTTGTGCCGCCTCGCAGGGAGGCAACTCTTACAGAGGATGAAGACATCCAGGAAGCGTTGGGTGGCCTTTGCCTTTCTCATGCCACATCTATCTCGGGAATTTGAACAATGTCCAATCGGGTGGCAGTGTCAAGCAGGAGCTTTCCTACAAAAGCCCAGAGAAGAGAAATTGGGAAGCTGGAGGCTAGACAGCTGGAAAAGCCCCTCATTGCAGTGGTGAAGCATGTCAACACAGTGTGTTGTGTGGATACTGAGGCTTTTGGTGCTGGTGGGATGCTGAGAGCAGCCTGGGGATACCTGCAAGCCAGCTGCTGGTGGAAGGACCACAGGGCAGCCAGTGGGATGCCCAGCCCATGCCCTGGTCCGTGCTCGGTGCTTGCCTGTGCCGAGACCGCACAGGGCAGCCATTCCCGCGCCCACCGAATTGGATACAGTTGTCTAGGGCTCTTCCCAGGCGCCGGCTGGCATTTCCACTGTTTGTTTATCGCTAATAGGGTTTGTATCAGGGAAGGATGCAAGTGGGTGGGTGGCCTAATTGGCAATGGAGATGCTCTCGTGGCGTGCCAGATACCTAGGGAAAAGCACGACTGCTCAGCTCCCCGGAGGGCCGAGCGAGGTGAGCGCAGGCGGCGACCGCCGCCCGCGGGGGAGGCCACTGCGCGTGTCCTCCTGCCCGGCCATGGCTGCGGGCATCCCCTGTGGCCAGGCAGATGTGGTACCTCGGTGGTGATGGAGCGTCCTTTTGCCAAAGCTGCTGCCAGAGCTGCGGAGGGGTGCGAGGTGAGGCAGGAGAAGGTACTTCTGCACGCAAACAATGAGTGCCATAAGAAGGGCTTCGTTCCTTGCTTTGCTCACTTAGTTTTTATCATTTTTAACGCTTCCGGTGATCGTCTTGTGCTGGAAGAGGGCACTTGGCTCTGTGGGAGGGGAAGGGTAACGTTTGGATGAGCAGCCAGGGTCTGGCTGGATCACCCCGCATCTTCCTGGGCTGGGCTGAGCTGGGAGGATGGAGGTCGCTTTGGGAATGAGCTCCATGCAAACACCTCCGCGTGAAGGAAGCCTTTCGCTGGTGTTACGGCACAGTGGTGAGTCCTGGTAGCCCGCTTGCAGAAACCTGGAGCCACGTTGCTTGCAAACTGCACCATCTGTACCGGCGAATAACGAGGTCTGCTCGGGAGAACCCAGCCTTCTTCTCAAAGTCCACGCTCACGAGCTGCTGCAGAGCTCTCTGCCCTCGCTTCGTCTCAGCAGCAGTTTTCCTTGGAGAAACAATCCAATGACCCCGAGGCCAGTCCCAAACGCGAAGAGGCTGCGGGAGGACATTTGTGTGTTTAACTTGCCACCAGCAGAAGTTTGCTGGAGCCCAGATTTAGCAATCTTCTGGTTGCGATGCGCATCTCTCCCAACAGTCAGTTCCCCAACTGTTAAGCGGAGGCATGACCTCCGTGATGTAAACAGCCTGGATCCATCTGCTCCTAAGCACAAAGTATGTGGGAGAGGGAAAGAAATGATTCCCATCATACCGAGGCTCCTCAATTTTTCTCTCTAAATACTAACATGCGTGCTGGAATCGCATGCAACGCTATTAAGAGGAGATGGGTTCGCTCCAGGCAGGGGCTTGGAGAGCCAGTTCTTCTGGGGCTTTGGCATTTATTATTGCGTCTATTAACTCTCCCCCTCTACGGGTGCAATTACGGATCAATTAATTCCAACTGAAAGCAGGAAGGGAAAGAAAAAATTGGCCCCATTCCTCTTTGAGAGCAGGTATGGAGCCCAAGGAGATGTGACTGCTCAGCTTTTAAAGCTACACGAGCTCCCAAAATAATCCTGGCAGAAGAGAGTCAGTGGGAGCGAGCGAGGACGGAGCATCAGCTGAAACGCCCTGTTTTCTGCCGCGTGGCAGCTGGTGGATTTGGGAGCTCGGGAGGATGCTGAGACTCCTACTAAGCATTGCCTGCTGCCGTCCTGTGGCCTGAGCTTGGTGTAATCCAGCACCCCACTGGGATGGGGCAGGATGCGCCCGCAGCTCTGCACCTCTTCCTAGGTAGAACCACTGTAGCACGGAGAGAATCGCGTGGCGCAGCCGTCTCCACTGGGGGGTAGGTAGGACGGGACAGGATGTCCTCCTGCCCCTGCGGCTGATGGCCTGTGGTGGGCAATGCCCTGCAGTTGGTTGGCTCCAGCTTCCGTGCTGGAGGTTTGCCAAGATCTACTCTTCCGTCTTAGTGAAATGTTGGGTGGGTTTGGTTTTTTTCAGCTGTTTCTCATGTAAAATAATTTGGATCTATGTGTTCGTGCTGCATCTCCAGAGCAGCAGAGACCTGGTGAGAGCTGCGCTGCCTGGTCCCCACCGCCTGCGGCATGCACAGTGCCGCGGCAGCAGTGATGCCATCCCAGTGATCACAGTTCACCACTGGTCCTGTCCAAACCCCTGCAGAGGTCCTGTCTGCTTTACTCCTCCTGGAAAGAAGATGGCTTATGTTTAACTTGCCACCGGGAGCAAGAAGTTGGAAAAGTGAAGGTGAAAAAGAAGCCGTGCTTGGAAGAATAACGTTGAGGAGTCCTGTGGAGCTTCTGAAACCAGACAAGCTGTGTTTTGACTCTCTCTCCCCTTTTCCTCAGCCCCTGCGGTAAAGCCCTGCTCCGTTCGTTGTGGCATCTGGCTTCCTGTTGAGGTAGACTCATAGCCCTGGTGGACTTCTTTCCCCCATTGAGTCTCATACTTCCAGCCCCTTTCCAGGGTGACAAAGCTGCTACAATCCACAGTGTTCGTGGTCTGCAACAATAACTGAGTGTGGGCAGTGGAAGGGAATGCTGCCTGACCTGGGAAGGCTGGGACCCTGAGTCTACCAAGGAGAAGACCTCTGGAAGCTGATGGCAAAGCAAGAAGTTGAGCACGATGGCAAGAAAAACGAAATCCATCTGCCTTGTACCAAACAAGAGAGTAATTTAAATCCTCCTAATTGCTTCTACTCATCCTGGTGATGTTAAGTCTTTTCTCCCTTTAAGTCTTTTCTGCCCCCCACCCCCAGCTCTTGCACTAAGCCTTTGAAAGAAACGACTAATGTTATAATTAAAGGATCAATTTGGCAAGATTTCTTTGTCTCAAGATCTTCTTTCTTTCAGGTTGGGTTAGCACTGCGTTCCCAGTCTCCGGAGAGTTTTCTTCAGCTCCTTCAGGAGCCTTCTGTACCCTCTCTGAAATCTTTTCACTTCACTTAATTTGAATTTTTTTCCCATCCAATTTTGAGGCATAACAGACGAGGAATAAAATTAAGTTTTATAGCAATTAATAATAAGGGCATTGAAAGAACAAGTGTACATTTTCAATGGAGACAGAGTTTTTTTTCTGGTCGGCTCTACACAGAATCTGGGCTCCGTGCGTTCGAGCTGGATCCCAGCTGAAAACACTGGGAAGAGGATTAGTGTCTTGGAGATAGGTGATCTGTGGAGAGGAAAGCAGGGAGACATGTCGCCATTACACAGGAAGGCTTGTGGGGAGATTGTGAGGGACAGCAAGATGCCAACAAACATGCCCGAGAATTATTGCATCAGAAGCATGAGAGCTTGGAAGCATCGTTGAGTTTGTTTTTTTCTTTAATGGTTGTAGCATCTCGGAGAGTGGCTCGGATGAAATGTGAAATGGCTGCGCCCGTTGAGTGTTTGGGGATTCACCAGCTGGAGCTGCTTTTGAATGGAGGTGGGGGTGTTATGAGGAGGGTGGGCTGTGGTGCCTCCTGCCAGGTCCCCCAGCACCATCATGGGATGCACATTGGCTGGGCCACGTTTGGTGAGAAACAGCCACGCTTGTCACTTTGTTCTGGGGAAGCTCTTGTGTCACGGCTGTGGTATTTGAACGTGAGTGAAGCAAAGGAGCCTTTGAGATCTTCATCTATATTCAACAGCCAGGTGGACATCCATATTCAACGAGCACCTCTCTGCCTT